TGGGGGGCGGCGGCGGCGGCGGCGGGGGCAGCGGGGCCGGCAAGGCCAAGACCGGCCACCTGTGCCTCTACTGTGGCAAGTTGTACTCGCGCAAGTACGGGCTCAAGATCCACATGCGGACGCACACGGGCTACAAGCCACTCAAGTGCAAAGTGTGCCTGCGGCCCTTTGGCGACCCCAGCAATCTCAACAAGCACATCCGACTGCACGCCGAGGGCAACACGCCCTACCGCTGCGAGTTCTGCGGAAAGGTGCTGGTCCGCCGCCGGGACCTGGAGCGCCACGTCAAGTCCCGACACCCCGGCCAGAGCCTGCTGGCCAAGGCGGGGGACGGCCCGGGGCCCGAGCCGGGCTATCCGCTCGAGCCTGGGGATCCCAAAAGTGATGACAGCGATGTGGACGTCTGCTTTACGGACGACCAGAGTGACCCTGAGGCTGGGGGCCGGGCCGGGCACGACTCCTAACTGGTCTTTCCGCTAAAGGGACGAGGGCCAGGAGCGAACAGTAGGGTGGGTGGGGTCTGTTCTGGGATTGGAGGGAATCTGGGAGATGAGGAGCAGGGACCCCCAATGACACATTCGTTATTAATATTAATATTATTGAGATGGTATTGGATTTGGAACAATCAGAAGTCCCTCACTGCCAGAGCTGGAAGTCAGCGAAGGTTCAGAGGTGGCCGAAAGCAATCCGGCAGCCCTCGAGGGTGGTCACGGATCTCTGTCTCCAGACAGGGACTCCGAGCATTGCCCCTTCCCTGCCCTGCTCTTTCTCCATGCCACAGGCAGACTGTCTACTCTTGGGTTTCAGGATCATGATTTTAGTTGCCACGTATTTTTTAAAAGTTTTTTTTTGGGGGGGAATTGTGCCTTTTGAAACGACGTTTTGTGTGAATTTTACAAGAGCATTTCACCGCATAGACAAAACAGTAGTCACAAATTCAGAAGTGTCGTTCACCCACTTGTTTCCATTTCATCTGGTCTCATGTCAAAGACTGCTCCCAGCCACATTAAATATACACCGTGGTAGCAGGTTTACAAATTGGTCACGTTCCAGTTATTTATGAGATAATAAGGATAAATGTAAGATATCTATAGCATGAATCTAAGAGCACGCAATATATAATTCTAAAGAAATTCTTTATTTGGTAGAGTACACATGTATGTTGTTTTATAATGAACGATGTATAGTGGATGCAGTATTTTGGTCTTGGTTTCAGTCTGTGCAATCTTTAAGAAAAATAAAGATACAAATGAAAGTTTTACTTAGCAACTTCAGAAGATCCTTTAAAGACGTAGATTGATTTGGGAACAGCTGCCATGGAGACTTTGAAATAATAGAAAACTTGGATACTTTGATTGTTCAAAAAATTAATGTTAATGTTGCAAGAGGAAAAGGTACCATTTCAATATGTTTATTTCAGAGGGTCTCAGCAGGCAAAGAAATGTTTGGTTTCTCAAACTACTTTTGAGCATGCTGAATGTCTTCATGTTTAGTGAAAAAAGAACTAAAAACACTAAAACAATGTTTTTCTCAGAGGTGCATTGGTTTTCTTCCTCCAGATACTTCTGATAGTCTTGTGCTCTCACTATTAGTCTCATTTTATGGAAAGAAAACATTCTTCAAGGTCACAGGGAATTCTATAATTAGAATGGCAAAGTTAGAAGCAATGACTATTTGCCATTAAAAAATAAAATGGGCACCATAGAAGAATATAATTAGTGGGCTACTTTTCCATATGCATTCTGGAAACCATTTTTCTCCAGAAGTGGAGTATTAGACCTTCAGCCAAGGTCAGGAATCCTAAGAGCCTAGGTCTATAGCAGTTTTCTCAGGACTTGGCTGGAAATTTCTGATCAATCACCAAACAATTTGGATGTAATCCTCATGAATGAATTTAGTTAAATGTTGTTGTTTTCTCATTGTTTTCCGAATCATATATGCTTTACACATCTCCACCTCTACCTGTTGGGACACTAACTCAGTCACATTTCACACATCACAGTAAATGTCTAGGAGGGTATCTGATTTCTATTGATGATGATGTGCAAAATGATTTCTCTAATGAGAAGACAAATGCTGGGAATGACAAGGTTTTAAGGTTGACTGATGAGAAAATGTTTTGCTTTATAAGAGAAAGCTTAAAGAGAAAGCTTAAAAAGTGAAGATTATGACTAGTCTTTATTGAGGACTTGCTCTGGGAATCTTATGCTACCTGCACGAGTTTCTTCTCCTTAATTGAGGACAATGGATTTGACTTAGCACGTTGGGGATGACACTGCCATAAGATCTGAAGAGGAACCCAAGTTCTTGCTACACCTGGGCTCCAAGAATTCATAGTTTCTCACCAGCTGCTTAGATCAAGATCCTGTTCTTTGTAACAATTAATTATTGCTTGAAGTCAAGTTTATCCTTGTAGTGAAATACAGGAGATCCTCCCACCCCTGAAATCAGCTCATGCAAGTCTTCAGGGAAGTGAGAAATGCTGCCCAAATCTGAAACAAGGGAAAAAGCTCTATCAGCTATAAAAATGTTAAGAGCCTTTAAAAGCCTATATTCAATAATTTGTGTTGGACATTAAAATATTTTGCTAACTCAATAAATTAGACACATTTGGTGTTGGCCCCATTTCTTAGGTTCAATACTACCACCTATAACTCTTAGTATGTTTTGTGAATAAAGCCCACAAATAAATAAAAACAGTCTGACCAATGTGAACACATTGAGAATTAATATTTTACAAAACAAAACCCTTCTATGTTTCCCAATTTAATATTGATTAGAACTTATTAGAAGAGATTCTAATATAAAATGAAAATTGTACATAGATTTAAAGGCCTCTTAGTTACAGGTCATTTGCAATTCTCCACAGGTTATCTCAGATAACCTATGTTTAAATGTGTGTATAATAGCATGGTTAGTGCCATTGTTTATGTCAATGTCAAAGTGAAATACAAATCAGGAACAACAGTATTACTTATTTAAGTGGTTCAGTTGAATTAGTGCTTTTCAGATTACTTCTTTCAATTTCCTTCACTCCTTCTACCTAATCATTCTTACCCTGGTGACCACAGCTTAACTTTGAGGGGAATGCTAAAACCATAAGGCATTTCTGAGATTCTAATACAGTATTTCACACCAAAAGATTTCTTAAAAAGGTAGAACAAATTCAACAAGAAATGTACTCTCTGTCTTATGTATGTAACTGTAACCCTTTTGTACATCACCTTTACAATAAAAATTTTAAAAAAGGTAGGAGATCTGGGCGCAAGTGGATCTCATGTGTGTAATTCTAGCTACTTAGGAGGCTGAGGTTTGAGTATTGGGGTTTAAAGCTAGCCCTGAGCAGGAAAATCTATGAGACACTTATCTCCATCTAATTACTAAAAAGCTGGAAGTAAAGCTGTGGCTCAAGTAGTAGAATGTTAATCTTGAGAATAAAAGCAGAGACTAGGTTATGGGTTAAGGCCCCAGGACCAAGCAAACAAGCATACAAGGTAGGAGAATGCATGTCTATTAGAAGCGAAAGACACTAAATTGTTTGGACCAGTTCATCTGGGCATTAAAATGTTTTACTATAACCTAAATAAATCAGAAACATCTGGCTTTGGTCTTGTCTCTGGCACCTTGGGATTTTAGACCGACCTCTATTGCCACAGTTTGCTCACTTATAAAACAGGGGGAAATAAGCAATAGGATAGTTGTGAACATTGAATGATCAGAGGCAAGTAAGCGGCTTACACTTATACCTCTCAAATGATGCAGCTCTAACTTTTCATGCTTTCATTTCACAGATATCACCCCAAATAGACAGGAGTTGATGCCCTTTTACAAGTCTTTTTTTCAGAACCAACAGGTTCTCTTCTTGGCTCACTTCTAACCCCCCCTGATGGAGCTCCTACCAACTCCTGTAAGTAAAGATCTTCCAAACATTGAGAAACGTCTCCAGATCAGACCCCTTAGGAGGCTGTCTTTCCATTTTGTGTTTAGACACCAGTTCCAGTGTTCTGTTGTGTGGAAGAAGAGTGCTTTTTCCTTTTTGTCACTCCCCTCCTCCCCTAGCATTTTATGGACAGAGAGAGCTAAGCTTAATTAAGCAGAAGCACGCAGTAAAGGTTGAGATGTTCACATCTTCCCTTTCTGAGCCCAGCCTGAACCCAGCAGAGTGGTTAAGTATCCACTAAGGTTCGCAATAACTCAAGGTTGTGAATTGACTCAGGGATAAAGGTGCGTGGGCAGGCCTGAAGAAACTGTAGGACTGCTGCAGTGGTTCTAGGGCCGAGGGAGTAGTTATTGGCGAAGCCTCCTTACTCTGGAAGTTCCCATTGGTTCATCCCTTGGAGCCAGGGCCGCTGTTTAGGGTGGACAGGCAGCCTGGAGGTCTAGGCACCACCCAGGTGGACTGGCCGCTTCTGGGATTCGACGGGTGTTGCTTGGTCCTGCAGGCAGGAGAGGGATGCTATTCTCTCCAGAGACTGTTTCCTTGTGCGTGGGAACAGAGGTTGGGGGCAAAGGAGTGGAGTTTCACCACAATTCTGACTACAGACCTAGGGTCCCGAAGGAGAGATTGATGCGGGAACCACGCCTCTCCCGCGGCGCGCCCCGCAGGAGCATCCCCAACTGGTCCTTGTTAGGTGCCCTGTCCCGCTGTGTTGGGGAGTTGCGGCACCAGCGCCGCGGCGACCTCGCCATCTGCTGCCTTCCGAAGGGAAGAGGGCAGAGGTGCAGCGCTGCCAATGGAGATCAGACGTGACTCTGGCCACCCAGGTGTGAGCTAAGGGGAGAGGACTCAACAGACGGCGGAGGCCAGCGCGTTTAGCTCCAGAAGGAGCGTGGCGCTCTCTCTGGACTCAGTGACCTTCTTACAAAAGATGAAAGGAGAGCTGTTGTCATCTGTGACTACAGTTTAATTCAAATTAGGTGAAATCGTTGCACGACAGACAACTTGTAAATGCCTCTTACTTGGAGACTATCCAAGAGTCCTTCAAAATCTGTCTATCTATCTATCTTTCTATCTATAGATATATCTATCTATATATATATAATGTACATGTAAACAGACTGATTTTATTTCAAGTACAATATGTTTACATGATCTATTATTTCATGTCACTAGCAGCTAAAAGCCAGAGGATATGTTTATTAAAGAATATACAGTTAATCACATAGATGACAGATTTTTGGTGATTTGAATGAAGCAGATTAAGAGAACTGTTTTCATAAAGAGTAAAGACACTGAAAAGTAAAACATATTAGTTATCTGAATATCACGTCTCAACTTTTTTCTTATCCATATACATATGCCTTTGCACAATAGGTAATGACTGCTAACATTTTTTTTTTTAGCGTTGGCAGTACAGTAAGGTTTCTGGAAGTTACTTTCGGGAGAGGTTTATTCAAAATCCAATGTTGCATTTGGGCAGGAAACACTCTAATCTTGTGATTTGAATAGAAATGTCATATGTGA